GAAACGCTACCCACTTTTTTGGGGCGTTTACTCAAATCCATGGCGACACAAGTAATCGCGCTGGTGAAACTAGAGAAAGCAAAGAAAGAAACACTTCAAGTAGTGGGAGCTTCTCACCCGGTCTGACGGGTTCTGCCGGGATGTGTTTTTCCTCTATCTGTTCCCCCTATCCAGTCAGTCGCGGTCGGGCTCCGGACGGACAGCGATCGAAAGCAAACCCGCGAGTGAATTCATATCGGATCTTCTACTTTTCGAGGCACAACTCTCAGTCCACCCGCATTCCAGCCTGCTCGCGAAGGACTCGCTCCCCTCCGAGCAACCTCGCGCACACGAATTTTCCCTCATCGGCACTGAAGTTTCAGATAATGATGACTGACCGAGCGGAGCTTGGTTCGGAATCGAAGGCTTCGCCCGTGGAAGGAGCCGACGGGAGGATACATGAGACAGAGTAGTATCGTCCGTGGCCGTAAATGTCCAGAATAGTCGAAGCGCCGACTCGGTCCGCTCACAGGTTCCAGCGCGTCGGGAAGGATTCGCCATGCCTCAGTTTTTGGACGTCTGTATTTTAAGCGTGGATCGCGACCGTGACCATCCTGAGGTCACGTCGGGACTATCGACATCGCAGTGTGGTCGCACATGCGTCGTGGCCTATAGTTTGAGTGTTCAAGTCCGCGAGCGCTTCCATACTGATTTTTTTTTCTGTCTACCTACATACTACAGGCTTATCGCTCCCCCGGGACCGGAGATTTTTCACTGAACGCGGTGTAAAGGCTGTCCCCGCAAACAAGTGAGAGAGTTGTCGCTTGCCAGGATATCTAGCTAAACAAATCGGTTATACGGAATGACAGAAAAAGAAGAGAAGAACTTCTCGGGACGCCAACGAAGCGACCGATCGCCTTGACTGGTGGTGGTGACGATGTCCTTCAGGGCTCGGGGCCCCGTGCGTCGTCGTCGGCGGCTAATGATATCAGAGCGTGGCCTGCTAAGGCTCCTATTAATGCTAGCTTTCTCTTTTTCACTTTCGTCTTGATCTGGTGTGTGATATAATGTCATCGATCTGGCGGAGCAGTAATTTCGCAAGGCGCGATCGTTACTGCGAACCAGTAGAGAAATCGAACACAAGGTTCTTCTGACCATCAGAAGTGTTCTCGTGTAGCCCCATCAAGAGTCGCTGGCTCACGTTCTGGGATTAAGCTGACTGATTCCCCTCTTCTTCTTCTTCCGCCTGTTTCATGTTCTTCATCTCTTTCGGAACCGCAAGACGGTAATTAATAAATGCCTCGGCCGACATTGCACCCGACCCGTGAACCTTGATGAGGAACAATCCCATTGTATCGAAGAGAAAATTTTCACCGCTTTATATTAGCACAAAATTAATATAATATTATGATGATATTCGAGCCGTTCGTTTTCCTCATGGTATTACTTACTGAAATTTCTTTCTGGCCGACGTGCTCCAAACTTTGGTGTTCTATGCCTAGGGTCAGACCATTCTGATTATCCGGCGCGACAACTCCGCTTTCGGGACATTCGCGGTACCTTATATACATTCTTATAGGTAGTAGGTAGCTGCTTTATCAATTCATGTTCGGAAGCGATTCCGCCAGAGCTGGAAAAATACGACGCGATCTCTGGATGTCCCGTGCTTGGTTAGTTTCGTATGCTAATGACGACCCCTCCCTGTCGATGATGCCCAAGTATCCGCTTGGATGAGGGAACGAGGCGGACCTGTTGTCGCGAGAGGAAAAAAACGGTTCCGAGGTGATGCTATCGAAGGATCGATTATTGGGAGCTCAAACAACGCCCTCCTGAATTTAATCGCTTTCTCGGGCATGGCTTAGGTTTAGCAGACTAGCAGCACATTGCTCACGATCGAAGAGGAAACTCTCGGCCGGGAGGCTCGGGTGGCCATTCTGATCGGACTCAGCAGAATGCGAGGATTGGCAGGAGGTGGAAGGGCGCAAAAGTCAAAAAGGTAGATCAAAACTCCGGAATCTTTCGCCGTCGCAGGAGGATGTGTCGACTCCGGATGACTTCCATCCCCATGCCTTCCATTCGCCATCATTGAAAATCATAATCTTCAACTGTTTTCCGCTACGACGAAAATCGTCACCGCGAATTTTCATTACAACGAACAGATGTGAGCGAGGTTCGTTCTAACGGGATTTCACTGCACATCCGACCGATCTGAATCTAATTTCGAAGCATCTCGGATCAACGACATCATACAGTAGAATGTCGTCGAAGCTAAAATCGCGCGGGACCGATCACATCACTTCGTTGTGATTTCCGGTTTAAGGGTTCTGCCTGTTACGAGATTTCATTGTATGAGAGAGATTACCCCAAGAGACACATTGTAGCCAACGGGCGAATAATAGTAGAAGAAAGAAGACCCTTCCCTTCGAGTCGTTCTCGGGCTTTCACTCACTTCCTCCGTCGACCGCTTGCATCCCAGTGTCACCGGATTTCGATCCCTCCCAGTCGGCAAGCTCGAGCTTTGCCGAAAAAACGAGTCGACGACTTGATCGAACGAACTGTGTCTGAACAAACGGAATCGACCGATCGACCGACCCACTGTGTCCCGAAACGGTAGGTGTCAATCAAGACGCTACGGCAACCTTTTGTCAGCGATTACGTACGGTGCGGTCGTGGACATAGCGGCTCGATCACAGGGAACGAGTCGCAGTCAGTTTCGCGAGGGCGGGTAGGAGAGTCCGACGGGATGGCAATCGTTCGGCGATTCTTCGATGGACGCTTCTCGGAACAAAATGGTAATGAAATGAATAAAAAAAAACACCCGCTCGCCGAGTCGCGTGGCATTCGGTAATTATTGACCTTCTGTTCTCGCAACTCGCTTTTCCGCCGAGAAAACCAACCGATAGCCAGCCGAATGAAAAGACGGTCGTCAGGCGGGCGAGTGGACGCTCGCTCGGTCGCTCGTATCAAAAGTCTGGCAAAAGGAAAAAAAGCTTGTTTCGCTCAACAAGGCGGCGCGGCGTCCGGGCAATCGCCATTCACCCCTTACCATTTACGGAGTTTTCACGTTCAAATGTGGACATACCTTGTTAGCGTAACCGCAGTTGACCGAGCTTACCACCGTCGCCGCCACCGCGACCATCACGATTACCGCTGGACGATGCCAGCGGTACGGCAGGCGCTGATTTCGAACGACTGATTGTGAGTTGAACAAATCTGAATCTGTTGTCCTGAGAATTCCCCGATCGGGTGTTGGCTTTTCCGCCCCTACAACGTACAGCCTACCACGAACGGGAAGAGCAGGGCAAGCCAACGCTGTAAGTCTCTTGATGCTTATCATCGATGTTGTTCTTCATTTTTGATTGACACCTCTCCGGACGCAATCGGAAATTCAGTCTGACCGTTCGGTAAGCCAGTTGGACGCTCCCTCGCACACCGGTCGATTCGGTCAAGTACAAAGTGCCTTCCGCCTGCAATCGTTGCGTTTCCGTCGACGGGATTGCCTTCGGAGCACTTGATGTAAATCACGCCACGAGAGCCGCAGTCTACCTCGACTGAGAACGGTGTCATGACTCGTGTGAAGTGGCGTATTTAAGGGCTCGGGCGATGCCGATTGAAGTAGGTATTCCACTTCGAGAACAATCTATTTCCCAGCTACCATTCAAATATTAACTGATGATCGGACGTCAAAGGATTGAGTTTAAACGGAACTTCGGCAGTCCCCCGGAAAGTCAAGTGAGCAGGGCCCGTATTTCCGATCGTTGGCAGATGCCCGTGGAACAAAAGATACACGGACCTTGCTCGATCCTCCATCGTGAATCGAATCGATTATTATCGGCGAATCCCGCCCGATAGGGATGGAGAATATTTACCGGCATTGACACTTGACGGCGCTCCGCTGAAAAATACTCGAATCATTGTTGTAAAATGGAGCGGAGATGGAATCTCGAATGATGGGTGGCTGGGGAATTCTCTCGGGGGGAGCCGAGTCGCATGGAACTTTCCCTGTCATAGCCCAATCGGTGGAAGATTCCTCTTTATATGAGGAGTTCGTTATAGTTCTTAAGCGAGCGTTCGTATCATCCGCTCTCAAATAAATACTGTGAGGAATAGAAACCAGATGTAGCGGTTCCAATCAACATGAACTCTGCATAGTTTATGGCTGCATAGTTGCTTGATGGCTCGCGAGGGATCGCATCCTAGAATGAGGAAGTTGGAAGAGAAGCTCCAAGGGAAACCAACACGAGAGGGGAAGGTATAGTAACGATTATATTAATATAATAGCAACAACGATCATCCTCAATGACCAGTCGAATGCTACGGTTCCGGTGGCGAACTCCAGAAAGTTTTGTGAGGAGAACGGTGATAATTGCAACAACCTTCGAAAAAATTACACAACCGTGGCAGATCGATAATGGCACCTGTCATAACAGTGGGAAATTCCGGAACCGACTCTTCTTCCGCCTTATACCTAACATTTCGATGTCATTTCCGGGCCAAGTCTCCCAAACTAATTGTCCTCAATCCTCTCCCACAGTTGTCGAATCATATTGCAGAGACTCAAACACTCGCATCCTTCTTCCCACCGTCGAGCTGAATAAAATAATTTAAGCCTTGGGAAATCGCTACGTCTTTTCAGTGAAGTATCCACCCAATAGGGATGGGAACAGTGTTGTGAGGTCGTCCGCCATGGGAATGAATCAGAAAATGCTTGACAGGCACCAAACAGTCCGGAGGGAAGCGGAATAGCTCCTGTAACGGTGCCGATGACGATATGAGAATGACTTAGATGATTATGAAGGCCATCTGCCGGCGGGACCTTTACTCAGCGTTCGAACCTCTGTAGATTCGTTCTCTTTCTCGTGTGGATGCATATAGTTGTTTTCCCACCCGATCTGTCGGTGATTCCGTCTCAGTATTCTGTACCGTATCTGTCTTCGTTTCGTATGCAGGCCCGCTGTCCGCGTCGCGGCTAACAGTATCAACCGAAAAGACAGTCCGTGGATGACAAGCAGATTTTCTTCTTATTGGTTATTGGCATTCTGCTGACCGTCGGCAGGCTCCTCGTAATCGTAATACTCGTACTCGGCGTTAGGATCCAGTGTTGTGCTGGTCGTCCGGGGAGCCGGGGTCGACGTCGTCGCTGGTACCGTACCGCCTTGGACTGGAGCGGGTCGACGTAAATTTGGACGTGTCACGACGAGTCTGTTCGGGGCTTGAGTTTGCGAAGTCGGTGCTGGTGGGATGAAAGGAGCTCCAGGAGATGCGGCTCTGTCTGGTGCAGCATACTGAATAGGGGATTGCGTCACGCCAGTCAGCTGCGGTGCGATGGCAGCAGGTGGAGGGTTGCGGGAATTCGCGGTGGCGGCCTGTCTGGGCGGGAAGAAGTTCCCGGCTGGTGGACGCTGTTCTGGCGAAGCGGGGCTCTGCTGTGGGAACTGCTGACTGGATGGGATCTGCGGAGTAAATTGTCTTTGGGGTGGGCGTTGACGGATCGCGGGAGCAGCTGTCGTCGTGCTCGGACGTGCAGGAGGTCGTCGAGGGTTTTGAGGTCTACGGGGCGTAGCTGTCGAGGACGGCTCATCCTCGTAGTCATCATCATCGTCCTGTGGAGCGGGACGTCGCCGGGCGGCGGCGGGACGACGAGGTTCCAGAGGGAACAGAGCCTTCACTTGGAAAACACTTTTATAGTCGCCCTGGGTATCGATGGTACCCTGAACATTATCGTAGTACCGCTCCGCGAGGGGGCAGTAGACCTTGTCCTCGGAGTTGCAGATTCGCGAGCTCTGCGAGAAGAGCGTGCCGTTGGGGCAGGCGAAACTCATTTTCGTCAGTCGGTTGAATTGACCGACGGCACAGATGTGGTAGACTTGACACGACAGCTCAGGATCGGCGTAGTACTCGCCGGCGTTCTTGTCTTTGCACGAGAACGACGTCTTGGGGAAATCGTGCACATTGAGACCCAGCACGCCCTGGGCAGCCGCAGCGATCGCCGCCACTGCGAGGTACTTCATCGTGCACTAACGGCTGTGTACCGGGTTCAGGTCGTGTTCACCGTCGCCGTCGTCGGGACGCCGTCGACGTTTACGCACTAGGGCGGAGGTCCCGCAACAAACACCGAATCCTCGTTATCCGAAAGACAGCACCGCTGGAAACACCGAAAACCAACAAACTGAAGCGCGCAACGGTGTTTATCGGTATTATAGCACATGAAACGTCTTTCCACCGTTCCGGAGAGGGACGACGACGGTGAACATTTGCCGCTTGCCACACCGGGAGACACAACTCGAGAAGAATCGGAAGGACAAACGGACGCACCCGCCGCAGCGGTCAGACGCCACCCGCCGTTTTACGTCTGCCGGAAGAATGTTTTACACCGGGCGTGAAGGCGCATGGACACGGGCGCGAACTTTGAGCTTAATGTTCGTCATTCGCCTCCTATCTTGGGCAGCACAAAACACTCATTCCGCGCTCATTCCGCGCTGCGAAGCTCAGAAACTTCCTCTGGCGCATTTTCTCGGGTGGATACGTAATTTTTCAGGATCGGTATCTTCTCCTATCCCGAAGTCGAGTCCGCCATAATTATCCATGAAACCGTAGTTTTTCGTCGAGCTAATTCGCTCTTCGATTACTTGGCCGTCCCGGGAAAAAAACAGAGACGACTCATCCGGTCTCACGAGGCCTGACTCCGTTCAGAGGGAAGTCGACGTGAATTTACGATTACCCACGCAAAAACCGTGTGACAAATCAGCTTATTCAGTACACCTGCCAACGACCGAGCGTAAGGCGACGTTATTTCCGAACGACGTTTTGTGTTTGCTCACACTGACACGGAGTTCGGCAAACCGATGCCAAATGAACGACTAAGCTAGGACTCCGGTGTCCTTCATCGGACCCTGATATATCCACTTCGCATCCTGATTCGATTCTCCACTCCCACGGAAAAAGGAAACAACCTAAACCCAACGACGTGACGGAATGCGCCTCAGGTTCACGGCTTGCCAAACATGGGATGGACTCCTCTATCAGAAGCTTCTCTATATTCTGGGTGTGTCTCAGAGGCCGAATGGCAAGCCATTGATCTCTCGGGAGAGATTGTCGAAAGGAGGAAGAAAAAATCAGAGATGGACGGAAACTACCAGGAAACTGGTGCGGTAGATTAAGGCATGGGCTGGACGCGGAACGCAGATAGATATGGTAGAACAGGGTCGACCTTCCGGTGACCCCTGGATGGCCAGCGTCCGACCGTCAGTCAGTCGGTGAGTCCGTGTGTCAATAACCCCGGATAGCTCCGCCGGGTTCCAAGTTTTTCCGCTGTCCTCCTTATCACCTTTATAATAGCAGGACAATTTTCCAGGGGATATAATGCGCGGAACGAGACATATTCAACCTGTGACCTCTGCCGGACGCACCTCGGCATCGATTGAAACGAATGCCCGATTTAGCGGGATCAGTTCCAATGATTCCAATGATCGGGATATCCCAATGACTCCAGTCTTCATAATCGACTTCCCTACGCCCACGGGGTGATCCTCCGACATGGAACGTCCAGGCGTGGACGAGGCTAGAATTCTGGACCAGGTCTCCTCTTCAATATATCTTTCATGACCCGTTCCCCCGATTCCTATCCGCACCCCTTCGAATGTTTGACGGCTGCCTCGTATCCGCAAAGCGATCTGCCAACTTGAGATCGCATGCCTAGTGATTAGCTCGACAACAAAACGTTCGGCTAAGGAATCGAAGCATCCAATTCGATGATATGTACACGGACAGACGTTCTCGTAGGCTGTCCAGGAACGTTATTCTTCCGGCGTCCTCCGTCCCGTCTGGTCCATCAATTAGTCCCCACTGGTTTCCGGCCGCAAACTATACTTTACGATTCGTAGGAAGTCTGCCCACCAGCGACCTTACAAAAGATCACAAGGGACCCGTTTAGATGAACATGAACTGATTCTCGCTCTATCAGCTCGGAAGGATTCTGGCGGGTACAAACTTAAGTCTCACTCGCTCCGCATGAGATTCAGCGCACAATGATCATAGATAATCGAGCAGCATGAACTACAACACTCGGATCAATCGAGTATTGGATGAAATCCGGTCGTACCACCCGATTAGGGCGGAAAAATAGTTATGTAACCGGAACGGAGTGAAATATCATTTCCTCTGTGAAACTCGATCGCACCCTTATATTTCTGAACGGATCAGAGCGATCTGGTCGTGTACAAGAATGAGATTTTGATTTCTGGACGCGTCGCGTCTCTCAGCTATCTCGACTTCAGCTGAAGGTCAGGAAACAAACTAGGATTTCGGACGGCGAGCTCGGCGGACCTCTGTCAGCTCAAGATTCGATCGCGCATTTCGGAACCGAGCTCAGAAGAGGGGGATTCCTCCATGCTCGAGAAAGGAAAGTCCACGAACTGCCAGGCTGATTACAAGTGAGAGCTACGCATGTGTACAAATAAATGTTATCGGCTCACGACCTTGGAGATATGCGGTCATTTGGCGAGCAGAAGCTCCGGCTCCTTTAGCTGTTTTCGATAAGGCGTCAGGCACTGGTGTGCCCCGCGAAGTTCTGGCATGCATGCGGTGGGGTTGAGGTCCGTTGAGGTCTGGCCCACGTTTGAGCCTCTTGCTCTGCTTGCCAACTGAGCGAGCGAGCAAACAGACCTATGGGAAGAGCTTCAAAGGCGAACAATAAATGCTGACGCGACTTCAGTCCGCTCAAGAGCCGCTCGCCAGAAGGACTCGACGAAAATCAAAAATTTCATGTTATCCGCCGTAATGCGGCAAAACGCGACGTGACAACGGACAAGCCAAACAAGCCGCGCACGCTCGCTTCAAACAAGCCCAAAACGAGCCGCTAGACAAATCGCGTCAGCAGATTTTCTCTTTTCGCACGAGCGAGAACCGATTGATTCGCTCTGGATCTTGGAGTGATTTTCCCGCTCATTTCATGCCTTGCGATCAGTGAAGTGGGCTGTTATACTGATGATAAGTTCAGAGCGGGAGAAGCGATTATCAAATCGATAGCCGGCTGATTTTGTGCACCGAACTTTCGTTTTGCGTAACGGAATCATTTCATCCGGATAAAAGCTCATCTCGCCGGATATTCGGTCCGCCGACTCATTCCGGTTCGAAGTCTCCTTCTTCTGATGACTCTCGACCTCTCCTCGACTGCCCGAGGCACAAAAGAACGCGACGCGCCGGGAATGCCGATGAGTCGATGGAGCATGAGACTTAATCACCGCTCGGGAAGGTCTACGCTCTCCATCAAGATTCGAGACATCCTCGGGAAGCGCAAGTGATTCCCTTTTCCGCTGACCTCCGTCGAGTCAGCTCCCGAGGAGATCATGTGACAATGCCACCTGTCAATACGGTGTATCTCATCCTCACGGGCTCCATTCATTCATTCATTCCCGGTCTTGTTGCAGTTCGGGCAACAACCACCGTCAGAACCGACGAGAGCTCACTGAAAACAAGGAGCAAAACAAGATGCTCGATGAACCTTCTCGGTGACTGATCTGAGCCATCAGACAATGTCCGGCGAAAGAGTCGTCAGTCCTGTTTTCGAGGAGCGCCGGGATGACCAGGCACAAACTTCTCAAACTTCCTTTTATCCAGAAATGTGCGGCTGGAGCGAAATGATTCCGCAAGACTTCACTGCGAGTGGCGAAAGTGAAGGGAAAGTTCGTCAATCACCGCGGTATCGCGAGAAACCGAAATGAAATTGAAATCTGAAGCGTCGTCGGCCTGACTGCGATTTCACTTGGTACGGAACAGATAAGATGATTCGACGATTTTATTTCTCGTTATCTATCTTTGGTCGCTGACTGCGATTATTAAAATTGTGATCAAGTTGTAAAACCATATTTGAGCCTGGGAACCAGACGCTCGATTTCTTGAGTGAATCTGGGATCCTGAGATAGAATTGATGGAAAGATGAATTCGAGTCGGACCAATGTTCTCTTTTCCTCCTTTGCTGCCCAAGTCACTGCAATGGGCACCTCTCGATTCCCTAGAAGTTTCAAGTGAAGGAAAAATCTGAGGTGATTATTAGAAGCCAGGCTCCGACGCGATTCGACTTAAGCTCGGTTAAACCCTGTTCTTGATAATTTTCATAGTCTCCTGAAGTTTTTTCCCTCGGTTTTTGTTTCTGCGTTACAAAACTTCCTCGATTTAGCTCCGGAGCCACCGCGAACAGGGGGGGGTTCCAAAGGTAAACCGAGCTGTTCGCAGGAAAACACGGCAACGATAAATTCTCCTACGAGCTCTTTGACTTTTGGGTAATTTATCCCGAAAAATTATTTGTCTCCCGAAAAAGCATCCTCCTCTCCTCCCACGTCTTTCACTTTCGGTTCTATATTCCGAAAAGCGTGTCGTTAACCAGATTCCTCTATCCGGCTGAAAGTACAAGGAATGCTTTTGATGACAACGAAGGATATTGACTCACCCCCACAAACATTCACTTTTACTGGATTTAGCGATCCTGCCGTTCGACATTTAACCTATTTTATTCTACGCTCCGGGTGTAGCCTTTCACCGTCCTGCTCGAGTCGCAGGATCGATAAGCCTCTTAGCAAGCGTGCTCCGCTTTCATCAAGTTATTCTGTGGGGAAAATTCACGCGTATCGCATCAAACGTGTTCAGCTGAGGGTAACCCGCATCACAGTACGAAATGAAGAACCAAGGTTTAAATTCGCTGCAGAAAAAAAACAAGAGCATCCGCTTCGGCTTTGTGTCTTGTAACCGATATAAAGATTAATGAAAATAAACGGCATCCCGGTGGCTGCGTGGTGGCCGCCGCGTCGCCGCCGGTGAAGAAGACAAGGGCGAATGGTTTGTTTTGGTGGTGGCTGCTGCTGCTGCGGCTACGATACACACAGCGCTACCATAAATAACAAAAACTGACCCTCAGTCTCAAAGAATATATACGCCTCTATTGTGTGCCGTTGCAACCACTACAATGTATTCGAGCGGTTCCGCCGACGACGCACGGCGAGCCAGTTCGAGAGGCTGATCGAAGAGATATCTAAAATAACAACACTGGAATCGGAATGGATGAATGAATGAGTAAACCGGACGAGGCTCGTCCGGAAAGATTTTTGAGGGCGTGTTTTCACTTTTCACGGAAATCGGCGACAAAGACGCCTATACGCTCTCCCACAACGTCGACGATGCGAGCGAAGTTCTTCGACAAAAGCATGGACTACAAGGTTCCGCAGATCACTGACCGAGATTTCGTCGCCCCGACTAGAAGAATTATTCTTTCTTCTTTTCCGCTTCCAGTGGAAGAGTATAGTCACGCTTTTCTAAGGATCGGCGCTTCTTCCTACATGACTCGCGAATCCAGACAAGTCTAAGTGAGTTCCATCTTCGGAATCACGGCTGCGTCCGAAAAGTTTTCACAAATCTCTTGCTTGGCCGGTGAAGGGATTCGCTGCGGCTAGAGCGGGCTGCGTTAACTACATGGGATCGCATCGGCACGACTAGGAATCGAAAGAAGATTCACTCAGTCGATAGACCGAAGCCAAAATTTGCTTCTCGCGGGTTCTATCAATTGAGGGCTGCCCCTCGGAGGTACTGATGCATCTTCCCCCCGGGGAAGCGCTGATCGTCTCGCTCCAGGACTGATTATTCCCAATTCTGGCAGGTTCAATGACATCGCAGCTGTGATGTAGCAGAGAATCTCATACCTCCGCGAGCATGAGATGACGCGTCACTCAACGGCCGAGCCGGGAAAATTCACTAGCTCACAGTGGAAGAAAATGAATCCTCGAATGAGAAGATCCATGCAGCCGGTAGAATGGGTACCGTTGCCGACAATATGTCTGCACACGAGCGGAATAATTTTCACCCGACCATCGTCTTCACGTTTTCCGGGCCGTCATCGTAACGATCATCAATCTCGATCATGATTCCATCTTGCGACGCCAGGCTCACCTGTGAGGGGCTGGAGGAGGGTGTAGGAGCGAATCCTTCGATACGACGAGTTTGGGACGAATCCGTGATTGACTTAAGTGTTCGCTTTTGATTCGATGACAGTTTGATTGAGACTTATGATCGCCCGTGGTATCGCGAGACTTGCACAGCATTGAATGTCCTGCTGGGATCTATCCGTCTGGAATCCCAGTTTTTCCATCGTCTTCCAACGCTCCATGCTCACAGACAGATTTCCCACAATTTTTAGACACTACTTCCGAGGCGGCCGGATTTTCTTTCTCTTCGTTTCGAGCGTAACTATCGAAGCCTGAACCGAGCGATAAGCGGGGAAGGTCGCCGCCGGGTAGCTAACCGCCGTCGTCCCCGTTCCCGCGGAATCGAGACCTGTTCCCAGCTCAGATATTCTGCCTGCATAAGAATTTCAGCCGAGTACCGAAGCCATCAGCCGCAGCCTCGACCTTGTTGACAAAGAAAAACTGATCGAAAACGCGCCGAGAGGAACTCGCAGAGGGCTCTATCCATCATGGCCCAATCTCTGAATCAGTTCAGGAATTTTCACGGATCTGCTTTGGTGGCTATTCCATCGGAATACCGCAAGGGGCTCGGCGTAGCTTCTCTCCACGAGGTCGCTCTGTTACTCTGCGATAACCGCGCAGCGTCGTCTCCCACGGTCAAGAAACACCGTGATCGCACTTGGGAAGGCTCGCGAAGTCGGTTCGCTTATTAAATGATTACGTCGACACCCACAGAATTTTCGCTCTGGGATGTGCGTTGAAAATCCCTCACGAAAGCATCGCTCACCGAGCGTTTCAGAATTGAATAGAGTCTTATCCCCGACCTTCCTCCTCTGTTGAACCTGGGCTCGAACCTCGCGGGCTACGCGGAATTCTTGGAATGAGCTGTGAATCCCTGGAGTGAGCGAAACTTGCAACTATCGACAGGGGTACAGAGGGGATACGACTCGCACCGAGGAACAACCACCTGTCAGAGCGTTTTTTTTCCGTGCGTTTCCGGAAAGGAAGCTCATGCAGGCTCGTGTTGGGACAGAGAACAGAAGCGTAGTTTCGATTGATTCCCCTCGTCTCACGGCAAGAACCGCTCCCCAATCATGGGAGATCACTCGAAACTAACGATTCCCGAAAAGTCCAAATTCTGACCACCCGGTGGACTATTAGTAATTGACACGGAAGTCAAAGCGAAAACTCACAAGAAGAACAGACGTCAGCGTTTGGGGCGGTTACTTAGCAAGAACTTAGTGCACCAGAATGGCGGTTTCCAATTACGCGCGGGAAGAAGAAGAGCGAGGTAATTACCGCGGTCTCATCGGGATCTTTTGATTTGAATCCCACAAAAAATAGTTTCCTCACAGCCAGCGCATCCGTACTTTTTGTTGCGATTCCGACCCACTCGGAGAAATTATCCGTAGCGTCTTTGGCACTGCGATCACCACAATCCTTACTTGATTTCTATCCGGCCCAGGGACGGGGAGCTTTCGGATAGAAATTCTGGCTGGGGAGCCCGCGAGCGAAGCTCACACCGGAACGTCTCCTCGGCGGAGCTTCTTCGAGGACGACGCGAGACTCGGGACAAACTGCGTCACTCCTCCAATAATTTCTTCTCTCTTTCCCCTGGCGGAGATTTTCCCACCTACAGCAGAGCTTATCAAGACGAATCGCGGACGATCGCGAAAAGTTCGCCCGCCGTGGGCGAGGCTGGCCAGTTGTCCACCCAGAAATGGCGACGACTTACCTGACCGTGCATGACTTCCCACTTCTACCTGCCTGACATATATCATCTTCAGCTCTGCTCGCCTGCTCGCTCCGTCAGATAATGTGAACAGCGGTTGTCTACTTCCGTTGGGACGACGTTTCCAGTGGCCATCGAGTGCTTCGGTGGATTCAGAGACAATCACACAGACAGTGGTCTTCATTATGTTGATTGCTTGCTCGATCCTCATCATGGTCAGACCAATTCGTTACCGTTGTCAAAAAGACCATTCTGGAGCTGCAAGCATGTCGCATTTCCGCTAAATGGTGCTCTATATTAATCAGACGGGATCTTCTGGCTGAGTCAGTCCCGTGTGACCAGAAAAAGCGCAGAGTGCCCCGAGCCCAACGAATGATATATGAACCAACGTCGTCGGATCACTCCCGAACTCAACTGAGGCGATTGGAATTATGAGGTTATCGGCGAGAAGTTCGAAGGCCCTCCATTCTCCTCGTCCCCCGCTTTCTAAGGACCTGGCAAAAGTTCTCGCTTAACGATACCCACGCCATGTCTTCGGGAGTGATCGGAGGCATCCATCGTCTCGCGAAGGATTTCGTCGGATCATTGCTGGAACTCTTTTGTTCCGCGCTCGAACGAGCGGTAGAACATCCGATGGCACAGCTCCCGTCGCTCATCAAAACACATGCACGAGGGCCAGCGAAAGAACGATCAGTGAAGAAGAAGTTGGATCGGATGAGATGCGCAACAGTAGCTGCTAGAGGAGCAATTGAATGGCCAACACCACGGCAATACTTCGTGCCCAAGTATTCGGTCGATGATCGTCGAGAAGGATGGTCTTCCAACGAAGTCTTCGCTCGGCCACCTAACGAAAATGCCCTTGACACCGGAGCGAATTAGCTTTCATTTGACCTCTGAACGAAACTTGATTGAATCTGAGAAAATCGCTACGATGCGGCTGTCATTATTGCTCATTACAAATGGTGAGCAGCTCGCTCCTTCTGACAAAATATGAAGAACGTTCAGAAAGGAACGATAGGTGATGAATGAGCGCCTTGAATTCACGGATGAATCAGAAAGGATTCCGACAAGTGAGGGAATCGTAGGCGCTGACGCATCGTCGACGAGTTGCCCAGGACGAACGTGTATTCGATACATTCGACCATAAACTTCTGTCGGCGGCGATGCGAAGAATCGAACGTGCTTTATCTTTCCATTGGATGTACCTTCGACAGCATTTCTCCGCTCCATTCCGTGTGCCGGTGTTTGAGCGAATGATTTGCATCGATTTCTCGAGAACCCTCTCGACAACCATGTATACAGAATTTCGCCCTCCCCTCCTACCCCAGCAGCGGGAAGAAAACCTCATAGGAATGAATGACCTGAGATCATCTGGTGAACTCATCGGATGGATCTCTGTGTCTGTATCGGATCTCCCACGTACAGCGTCTGAAGGAATTGGAAACATCCGGGCTGTCGACAGGAATCACGGATGTCTGCGCACATCGAGGGGGTGGGGGTGACGAGAATGATCGATACTTTCGGAAGCAAAATTCCTCGACACCAGAGATCATTAAAAGTCCTTCGTGAACAGGAGCTGCAGCTCGGGTCAAACTTTCGCAAGAGGTTCACCCGGTGAAGGTTTCAAGGTGAGGCGCTGACGGGATCGTCGGCAACTACTTCGATTACGCCTCCTACCCGAAGAGAGACTACCCGTACCTCGGACTATGGCTACATCAAAATCACAACCAGTACATCGATTCGAAGTTTGAGTACCTAATACCCTCACGGAGAGAACATGTTCTTTGGCTCAAGCGGAGAACTGCGCCAGAACTTGAAGTGAGGCATCCGTCGACCCGGATTCATATGTCCTCCGAATCAAAACGTTTGCCGTCGAGTTCCAATCATTAGGAATCCAGCGTTGAAGGAGCCCTTGCCTGAGGGTTCTGAGGAGGCGCCAGTTGCTCATCATGTCTAGGCCATGCGATCAAATCAAGAGGAGGGAACAGTTTCCAATCCAGGAAGGAAAAATGACAGAAACTACAACGATGATTTATAGAAAAGTTCCATGTCCGATCGGAGACGGCTCCTGCGAGCGGACCCGGTTGGCTTTCGTCCAAGCCTATCGGTTTCTATCGCTTTCCGTTCGGAATTCCGCCGCGTTTACTCAAAACACACAGAAATTCCATTGCGATCTGACGTAACCAATTGCATAACGACGGCAACCGTTAGCACGAGTGTCCCGTGGGCATGCTTCTATTTCAGTTGACGTTTCTCGTTGTAGATATCGAATTCGAGGCGAATTCCGATTTCTTGCTCCGTCAAAGCTCCCGTACCATGCCGCATCGCGCGTTGGGTTTCGATCCGCGCTAGCGGGAATCTCCGCAAAAGGTCATCGGATTTGATGCGGTGATCGTAGGAATGGCGATGAGAACGAATGAACGATTTTCTCGTTTGTTACCCACATTCGTTGGTGAGCGACCAAGCGGAGAATCGCTGAAAAAGAAACATGACGACGACGACAATTACGTGGAAATGTCCATCGGCACGTCGTTGGGTAACGAGGGTGGATGTTATCGTCGTCCGCTCCTCCCGGACGGCGACAACTCCCACTCGATGATCGACTGCGTTGTTCATAGCTTCTACTTAGCATAAACAGCGGTTACAGGCGTGCAACCACGCGTCGACAGTCGTATTTTCTGTAATCCCGACGTAAATCCTGCGATCGTCGCGAACTATAATGAACCTCTGGACGTGGGGTGAACTTTTTCTTCTCCCACCGATCGCACTGTCAATCAAACGGACTAATCTGCAGGGTGTGCCACCGAAGCCTCCTCATGAAGCTGATACAACGAATGAGTAATAATAGTACAGCTTGTCGCGAGCCGAAATGCGCTGAATTTTCCGACCCAACGCCAGGCGCTGCCCCTGACGGTGGACGCCACAGTACCACCAGCAGTTGCTGACGTTCACAGCTTTCCCATGACTTCCTTGCGCTTTGGAATACCGCCGTTCGATAAGCCGAAAAGTCATGCCTTGCATTCCCTTTCTCTCCGTAATTTCTCACTTTATCTGGGTGTCCTTGTTTTTGCCCCCTAGATTTTCCCACTCGATGTCTTAATCTCGTCGAGCTCTTTCACGAATAATTCAATCTCTCTTTGACTGCCTCGCCTTCGAGGGATTCTATACCTATCGAGGATGGGTGGACGAAGCATGGTCGACTTACCCCGATGCGACGCCCTGAATCAATTCATGATCGAGTCATTGGATTGTTCTAAGTGATTGGGTATGAGCTCACTCTGACAGATGATGCGAAGCAGCGTCCCGCTGGACTGCAGAGCCGGCTCGACGGGTTGGAATCGATCATGGAGGGAAAACAACGCGTTCCAGGGGCCGGTCGCAGATCGTACTTGTGCAAACGGTCATATCGCCAATGATCCTCCCTACTATTTTCGACTTTTGTGACACTACTCCCGCTCAGGACCAATTGAGCTTCACGCAAGCCTCATGCTCGGGAATAAAAATCAATATTCCATAAACAATGCGTCTTGGGTAATTTTTGAACGGAATTTCCCACACAGGGGAGTTGTCACCCTTTGTTTTGGTGATTTCTTCTCGATTTTCTACCTCATTTTTCCCGACGATGCTCGACGATTGTCTGCACGGCTTGATGTTACCGCGTTCTATCTTCATTCATACAAAAAAAAATCGTTCTAAAATGACGCGTGTGTAGACTCGAACGTGGAAACGATTTCACGATTCCTTGACCACGGCCCGAGCCGCGTAAGTTAAGCTTTTTGGAAGCAGGGTGAAGGCAGATAAAAACCGAAAGGCGATATCCCACGGGAGTGGAAGCATGATGAATAATCGAGAAGAAAAATCCTGCGAAAAACACAGAATCATGTAGAATGTAAACTATAGTCATGCTATTTTACGTCACAGTCCAAAGGGGCTGCGATGATCATGAACCCGGCTTTCGCTGCGAGCCCACGCAGGAGAGGCACGCCGTCGCCCTTCGTGTGTTCGCTCACCATCCCGTTAAAAGAAATGACACCTCGGTCTCGACCTCAGACAATTTTAATACCTTCTTCGACGGAGAATAAATATGAACTATCGGTAATCTAGATGTCGTGGGCATCAAGCGAAGTCGAGGAGGCTCGTCTCTCAGGAGGAAACCTTCCTTTTTCAGTTCATGGCCGAGCTTTCTCACCAGAGTCCCCTGCCCACATCCTGTATCTCTGGCAATATTAGTTCGGGTATCCCTCATGCATATCAAGGCGATCCTCAAATAACCTCACCGAACATCGCGAGACGTCTTGAGGATTCAAGAGGCTCGGAGGATGGTGTAAGCCTCCAATCAATTTTTGTATTGAGTAATGGCTCGCCTATTCAATCGGAAGATTCACCAGCATAGACCTGGCGTTTGATTCTCGAGTTTCGAGCGAAAGCGAAGCTACTGGTCCGGTTTGCTCGGGCGGAAAGTTGAGTTCTTCCGTCCGTACTGGAGAGTTCAGGGTGACCTAGGCAGCGAATGTACAGAAACTTCCTAATTCGCTCCCGCTCTTATATCCACTCATAAGTCACGTGGATTCTCGGGTAAGTCCTACGAGCTTCCAGACGGATACGTTCCGTCAAGGACTACGGAACTCTCTGTGAGTCGATACACGCAACAGATTCTACCAAACCGCCCGACAATGCCCAAATCCTCGCAGACCCCCTTATCCGGTGTCATTTACCTGGTTATCGAATTATCATCGATGCATACAGAGGAATCTGCTCGTCGCGGATGTTGGACGTCGAAGCATCGCCACGCGATCACGTAGTTGTTTGTGATTGAGATTGGGTACGCCTCAGATTCGCTGTATCGATTCTGGTCGTATTGTCACTCGATTCCTCTTCGAACGCGTAATGGTGAGAAATCCTCCATTTCTTCCCAGGGCAGCAGATCGTTCAAGGTTTCCGGGGAAGTCAGGAAACTCTAGTCTCGAAAAATGACCGGGTTGCGCGACCTTGACGTCGTCAGAAAAGTGCCACGCACCAAAGTTGTCACACTTCACATCCCAGGGGGGA